TGACTGCTCACCATAAGGCTGGTGGTTCAAACACACCAGCCACTCCTCAGAAGGAAGGTTGTGCAATCTACTTCCATAGAGATACTGCCTTGGAAACCCAAGGGAGGGGTCACTATGAGTCGAGTTCGACTTGATGGCACACAACAACAACAAACAACAAGATGCTAGAGCTAATTAGTGTGGTGACTACTGACAAGACTCCATTTTGAAAATCCACAATTTAACTTTTTCATCTCATCTTTTTGTGAGGCGTTTCTACCACTTCTTAGATTCAGCTGTAAAATGTGAACCCTAGACATTGGATAGGAGCTCTGGTGGTATAGTGCCTAAGGCATTTTACTGCTAACCAGAAGGCTGGCAGTTCAAAGCTACCAACCACTCCTCAGAAGGAAGGTTGGGTAATCTACTTATGTAGTGATACTGCCTTGGAAACCCAAGGAGGGGTCACTATGGGTTGGATCCGACTCCATGGCAGTGGTGGTGATATTTTACAATCTTTTGTTTTTTTGCTGATATTCGGCCCATTAGCTAATACTATCTGTCACATTCATTAATGCTTATGTTTGGAATTGAGGTATGAGTAAATTGCAAAACTGTCTACAATTTTGCAGTAACTTCTTGCAGCTATTAAATATGCTTACAGTGAGAGGTCAGCTTAACATTTTCATTACTGATTAGACATGAAAGAAGACACATAGTAAAAAGTAATATAACAGAGCTCTCTTGGCGTAGTGCCTAAGGTGTCTGACTGCTAACCAGAAGGCTGGAGGTTCAAACCTACCAGCCACTCCTCAGAACGAAGATTGTGCAATCTACTTCCTTAGTGATACTGCCTCAGAAATCCAAGGAGGGGTTGCTGTAGGTCAAATCTGACTCAATGGCAATGGGTTTGTTTTTTTTTTTTAGATATGACAACTGAAGTGTTCCACTAAAATCATTTTCATTGTTGTTGTTGTTGTTCTTTCTGTAAAATGGGGACTGAGATAGGAAAGTTTGAGAAATACCAATACCAATGCCTATCTCTAGACATCAGGGGATATATATAGATATAGATATAGATATAGATATAGATATAGATAGATATATACTTAGCATATGGTTGCTTTGGGGAATAATCCATCTTTGATTCTCAATGATCACTTGCGCAGGGTAGGTGTATATCTCTCATGAGGTTTCTCTATTCCACCCAATACATTGACAAAAGAGCCAGGTTGCTCACTGCTTTTACTTTTCTATCTGTGTGACAAGGAACAACATGTGATAATGGAGGCTGCATGAATTTCTAGGAAAGCATTAGAATTACATAAGTGATTCATCTCAGGTGAAATCCTGAGACTTCATTTCAGAAAGGCTTTTAGACAGGTGTGGCATTCAAAACAGTTTACAACCACAAATCTTAAGCTGGACACAGTAAGTAGCAGGGTCAGAAAGCCCCTGATGTACCTGGTATTAATCTTTTAGTTGCTGAATTGACTGGGGGGCCTGTGAGAAGGGCTGGAGTGACAGACTAACAAAGAGGAATTTTAAAATTGTACAAAGGCACCTTAAAATTTTAACAAGTACAGTAGTTCTCATAAGACTATCACTTCAGCTTTCAATAATGAACCTCCACAAAACATTCCTAGTCTCTCTAAACTAATTTCTGGTGATGTGAATTGCATAGACAATTTAAAAAAATAATAATTATAAAAAGAAAAAAACCTGTCACAGGGGATTTAAATTATATTAACACATGAAGATAATGTGTGTACTTTCAAAATTATATAGGCCTTAACCAATTAATTAAAATATGCTTCATTTTTCAAACTAAGCCTCATTTTAAAAACAAGCCTTCTAGAATATTTCAAAGATGATGTCATTCATCTGTATCCTTCTGAATGTTTAAATTACTTTTTAAACAAAGAACTTACATTATTTTGGAAGAAAGGGTAAGAAATTCTCATAAAATGTATTTTCTGATTGAAGATAATTAAGATACTGCATTTCATTAAGAGATGGAGACTTTCCTATACTTTTTCCTATACAGACCTTTCTACTATAATGGCACTTAAATCAAATTTCTGCATTCATCACTACATTACCATATCTTAACAGGAATATGAGATATCTGATGTCAGTTATTATCTGTCATCCATTTACCATAATACAAGTACCTAGCACACTGTCTAGCACAGAGATGTTCAACATACATTTTTAGGAAAGCACAGTACATTTAAACTCCACTTCCTTCTGACCTGCTAAAAGTAACTTCTCCTATCATGAATGCATTCTCAGACCCTGTTCTGCAAATAAAACTTGCATTCTACTACCATACTCAAAATTATAATAGTTCTTATTTGCTGGCCACAACAAACCTTTATTTCTTGGCTTAATTTCATTCTCTAACTGAAATTTAATTAGGATTACTTACAATTAATAATACACCAATAACAACAACAATACCATACTCTGACATTCAGTATCATCTTTCCCTTATCTAAAATATGCAAAACTTACTCCAAACTCTGGATATATATTTTTTAATTTTTGTATTTTATTTATTTTTTGTTTACCCTCTAGTTAGTGGTTTACCCTTCCTTCCCACTCACCACTGGTAGCCATCAAAGTATTAATTTTTTTGTGAAACCCTTTTCTTGACTTTTTACAACAGCAGTCTCAATCTCATACGTTTG